TGCTGCTTGGCCTGCTGTGTTCATCCAGCCCTGCACCTTGTTGTCTCGGATTCTCCAGCATCTGCAGTTCCTACTATCTCTGATTCAAATTTATCTTTCCTTGTCCGTTTGTGTGTGCGTGCATATGTTTGTGTCTGCATGTACACATGAGGGAGTTTATAAAGGCAGTAGAGTTTTAATTTAAAACAAAGAACTGCGGATACTGGAGATCTAAAACAGAAATTGCTGGAGAGTTTTAATTTGCTATGTTATGTGTCGATAGTTCATAACTGTTTACCTGTAGCTCGAATCTAAACACTTGTAATAAATAGTAATTCTTGTTTAGTACAGAAACTTGGTCAGTGCTTTTTATTAACTTGGGTCTGAAAATTAGGTAAATTGAGAGCTTTTGCACACTTCATAAAATCTGTAACTTTTGTGAAAACTCTGGGAATAATAGGGCTCAATTTCCAGTGCACTACCACGGTGAGTCATGCACCTAGCCGCGATTAGTTAACCTTTCACTTCTACAATGCTCAATTCAACCTCAGGCAATACTTTTACATAACAGTTTTACATGACTAAATATCTATTCTACAGTCTCACAGCAATTGCAATTGATGACTGCATTCAGTACAGATTGATTTCCTGTGAGGGTGACCAAAGATTACTGTTAGTAAGCCAGAGATGAAGAAATGCAGCCAAATGATTGATTTATGTATTTAATAATTTGGAGCATAAAGCATCGAACCAAGTCACAGTGACATACAGACTTCAGTGATAGAAAAGATACAAGTAAAACATGTCTCAAAACAGATGTGCACACAGATATGTCAAAGAAGGTACAGACACAGACATGTCAGATACACAGGTCTGATTTAACAGTGAGTCAGTGAATGGATTTTAATTAAGTTAAAATTGGGACACAGGTTCAAACAAGTAAAGGACACACAAAAAACAAAAGAAACATGGGTAAAAATGCATATAAGAAAGTACAAGCTCAAATCACATAGGCACAGGTAGGTAAAGAGATATGTAGACATCAAGATGGGAAAAAGGGAAAGAAAAAATAGAAATTGCTGGAAAAGCTCAGCAGGCCTGGTAGCATTTGTGGACAGAAATCAGAGTTAACTTTTTGGGTCAAGCGACCCTTCCTCAGAACTGCTCTGGAAGGACATTGCTTCCTTATGATAAGTGGAGCATTACCAATAAGCAGGTCCACCTCAGTAGATTTTAGAGGAGTCTTGTGTCCAGCATTGGCGTTCTTGATGCCATTTCACCTTTCCCCCACCACGGCCAGGAAGATCAGATTTAACCTGATATGGAGTCTTCTCCCCATTAGTAAATCTGCTGGAGCTATCCCTGTAGTTGTGTGAGGGATGGTTTTATAATCAAACAGGAACTGGGATAGTTTGGTGTTGAGTGAAGCCGTAGGCTGTTTCTTTAAGTCCGCCTTCAATGTATGGATTGCTCTTTCCGCCAGACCACTGGACAATGGATGGTATGGAGCTGTACTTATATGACAAATACTATTCAACTTTGGGAAATATCAAATTCCCTCCAGGTAAACGATGGTCCATTATCTGTGACTAACATTTCCGAGAGTCCATGTACGGCAAAAAATGTGCACAGTTTCCCTATTGTCGCCCCGGTGTTTGACGAATGAACTCTATTCACATCTAGCCACTTTGAGTGGGCATCCACAATGACAAGAACATTCAGCCCATGAAAGGACCCGCACAGTCAGCTTATAACTAAGACCAGAGTTTACCCAGCCATTCCCACGAATGTGGGGGAGCTGCTGGTGGTAATTTCTGTCATTGTTGGCAGTCTGGACGCGGCCACACCAATGCAGCTACATCTGCATCCAGTCCTGGCCATCAGACATAACTCCTCACTAACACCTTCATTTTGGAGTTCAGCTGGTATCTGGCGGCGACCTTTGCTTGGGACAATCACTCTTGCTCTCCATCATAAACTGCTGTCCTCTACTGTGATCTGGTCTCCCTGGTCCAAAAAGGTTTCAATTCTGGTTGTGACAGCCTTTTGGTTTCCCCCAACTCCACCAGCTGTTTCAGTTTTGCCAGGACCAGATCTCCTGGATACTGGCTTCTGAGTTGTCTTACTCATTTCAAGGGGGACTCTTTTGCTGTCTCGAGTCTGCACATCGGCAGCAGCTACAATGGTTTGCCGGCCCGGATCTGAAGAAAACGTTAACCGTTTAGCTGAGGCTTGGCTTTGTTTTGGGGGTTTGCAGTGGGCGGACCTAGAGTCCCTCTGTTCAGGATTAGTCCTGATTATGGCAATGTCATTGCATTCACTCAAGTGATGTCCCCCAAGCTCAGTCAGACTGGCAAGGGTGTCCACTTCCATTGGAATACCTGTAACACACATGCGTCACTTGCCACATTTTCTAATGACAAAGCCAGTTGTAGTGCCTGTCTGAAGTCCAGTAGGGGTTCAACTAATAAGCGCTTTTGCATGGTTATATCATTAATCCCACATACCAACCAGTCTCTCAGCGTCTCAATAAGGGTTAAACCAAAGTCACATGCCCCTGCCACTTGCCTTAACCTCTTCAAAAATCCCAACACAGATTTCCCTCGTTCTTGAACTGTCAAGTGAAACTGATAGCATCTCACAATTAGAGGAAGCTTGGGGTTGTAATATTCCTTAACTAAATCTGTCAAATCTTGAAAGGTTTTCGTATCTGATGCCTCAGGAAACATCGGGCTCCTAATAACCAAAAAACGCAGGTCCACAGGCTGTCAGGAGAATTAGTCATTTACATTCATCTGCCCCAACGTCGTTTGCCCAGAAAAAAAAACACATTCTTCCCACATACTGGGTCCGGGTCTTCGACAGCAGAATCGAACGAGTCAAACTTCCAAATAACGACATGATCCCAGAAATGCTTAACCCAACTCAAAGACAGTTGTTGCAAGTGAATTTCTTCAGGAGTGTACTTTTCCTCTCATCGCTGCTGAAATAACTCCACAGAGTCCAGTATCCCATCACCACGTCACAATCTATTTATATATGGAAAGTCCTTGACACTAATCCAGCTTCCTCAGAGCCAGCTCTCAGAGTGAACAGAACTTCTGACACTCCTGTTAATATGTGTCAGCCAGGACTCCCTGATTGAACCAGATTAACAGCACCCCCCCAAATCAGGGAATCATATTCTATGAGGTCAGCCAGGTGTACCTCATTACAATCATTCCAAAATCATGTTTCAAACAATTGGAGCTTTTCAGGATATTACTGTCACATTGAAAAAGAAACACAAAAAAGATCTTGATATGGTCTCCCACAAAGGAGGTTAATAAATAGAATTAGACCATATGGGATTGGGGGAAATATAGTGCTATGGATTGAGAATCGGTTAACAGATGGAAAGCAGGGAGGAGGAATAAACAGATCATTTTTTAGATGGTAGACTATTACTAGTGAGGTACTACAAGGATCAGTACTGGGTCCACAGTAAGATACAATCATGGAATTTTACCGTACAGAAGGAGACCATTTGATCCATTGTATATAAACCAGCTCACTAAACAGCTACCCAACTAGTCCCACTCTCCAGTCCTATCTCCGTAGCCCTAGAACTTCATCACTTTCAGTTGCTCACCCAGAATACTGTGTACAGTTCTGGCCCCCTTATCTCAGGAGAGATACTATTGCCACAAAGGATGTGCAATGAAGGTTTACCAGATAAACTCCTAGAATAGCAGGATTGCTATATGGAGACAGATTGAGGACAGTAGGTCTGTATTCTCTAGCATTTCAAAGGATGAGCAGTGACCTAATTGAAACTTATGAAATACTTCAAGGCTGTGACAGGGCAAAAGGAGGAATATGTTTATTTTGGCTGCTGAATCTAAAATCAGGAGACATAATCCCGAGATAAGCGGAGAGGCTGTTTAAGACTGAGTTGAGGAGGAATTTCTTCACTCACTGGGGGGGGTAAATCTTTATAATACATTACCCCATACAGCTGTGGAAGATCAATAATTGAGTGTGCCCAAAACAGACATCACTAGACTTTGGAAACTAATGGCATCAAGGGATTTAGAGATGGTGTGGCATTGAGGTAGATGATCAGCCAGGACCTAGCTAAATGGCTGAGCAGGCACGACAGGTTCAAAGGTCTTCTCATGTTGTAATAATCCTGTTCCCTTAAGAGCTGTCAGCGGATCGCACAGGCAGCACCAGTGGGAATGGCAGCACAGGTTTGCTATACATCCAGCATTGCCGTGGGACCCAGGCCAAGGGTGTGACAGGCAGCTTGGCAACAAGGATAAAAGAGGACTCTCAGCAAACTTCACCCTGCTCCACTTCGTGATGCACTTGTCCCACCATAAGATCGATGAACCATGTCCCTCCATAACCCCATTTCCAACCCCAGCATTCAGACTTCTGGCATGGCAAGTCTTCCACCATGCACTGGTTCTATGCCATTTGCTGTAGGATGAGGACATGAAGTAGGCATTAATTGCCCACTTTAGGGCTTCAATTGTCAGTACCAAGAGAAAGCTGTCCTCTAGCTTTCCTTCTCCGACATAATCAGGAAGAGGTGAGGAAGCAGTGGGGTCCCAGATTAAATACCGTGCTTTGAGGAGAGTATTAGTTCCCTCCAGTAGGAACAGATAGGAGACAAAGTACAGGAAAGAAAAGCAAAGATAATTAGACACAAGCAAGAGAAACATAGATTGAGATCAAATGGAATTTAGATCTCTTACCCCTACAAGGCATCAGAAGACGTTTCTTTGTGTTGCCTGTAAAGACATAAAAGAAACAATAAATTACACATTGGCACATCACTCTCAGTAATAGAATCTTCAGAGCTGAAGACCTCTCAAGAATTAACCTTCCTTACAATGTTTAGGAAAACTTTCAACACAATGGTCAAATAAAAGGAATTCATAATGTCATTTGACTTCATGTCTATTCCTAAATTGATGATTTTCTTTAGTCATAAAATGCGTCCTAACTGTTTCATAAAAGGATCAAGCCTGTCAAAGTAACTGTGCTTGAGAAAAGACCACCATATTTATGAGACGATTTGGATAGGTGACAACACCTCGTCCACCATAATCCTCAACACTAGCGGCCTGCAAGGTTGCGTGCTACTATATACCTTATACACTCACAACTGTGTGGCCAAATTCCGCCCCAACTCCATTTACAAGTTTGCTGACAACGCCATCGTTGTAAGTTGGATCTCAAACAATGAAGAGATAGAGTCCTGGAAGGAGATAGAGCTCTTTAAAGGCATGGTGCAAAGACAACAACCTCACCATCAACATCAGCAAAATAAAGGAGCTGGTCATTCACTTCAGGAAGAGGCGTGGAGGGCTTGCCCCGACTGCATCAGTGGTGCTGAGATGGAGATGATCAACTTCGTGGGAACGATGATTACCAACAATGTGTCCTGGTCCACCCATGTCGAGGCAATGGTCAAGCTAGCTCAACAATGCCTCTAATTCCTCTGGTGGCTGAGGAAATTCAGCAGGACCACAAGGACTCTGATCAATTTTTATAGATGCACCATAGAAACCATTCTATCTGGAGGTATCACAGTGTGGTTTGGCAACTGCCCTGCCCAAGGCTATAAGTAATTATAGAGAGTTATGAACACAGTCCAGTCCATCACGCAAACCATCCTTCCATCCATTGACTCCATCTACACTTCCCGCTGCCTCAGGAAGGCAGCTAACATAATCTCTTCTGTTGGGCAGAAGATATATACACACACAGATTCAAGAACAACTTCTTCCCTGCTGTTATTAGACTTCTGAATAGACCTCTCAAATTTAATCTAACTCTCTGTGCACTTTCTCTGTAGCCGTAACATTGTATTCTTCGATATAACAGGGTGTAGAGCTGGATGAACACAGCAGGCCAAGCAGCATTAGAGGAGCAGGAAGGCTGACGTTTCGGGCCTAGACCCTTCTTCAGAAAAATGGTCGAGCAGTTTCAAGGCCAAAGAGATTACGAGAGAGTTGCAGTGGGAGAGAGATCCACTGAGGTTTTTCCGGAGGGAGGATTTTTCTGAAGAAGGGTCTAGGCCCGAAACGTCAGCCTTCCTGCTTCTCTGATGCTGCTTGGCCTGCTATGTTCATCCAGCTCTACACCTTGTTATCTCGGATCCTCCAGCATCTGCAGTTCCTACTATGTCTGAAACATTGTATTCTCCGTTCTGTTCTATTACCCTATGTACTTTGTATAGCATGATTTGCCTGTACTGCACAGAAAACAAAACTTTTCACTGTACCTTGGTACGTGACAGAAATGAACCAAATCAAATCAAATCAAATATCCAAATAGGGACCATTAACTTGTCTCCTTAAAGTCGACAAAGTGAGAGATCCAGGGCACTTACTAAATGAATAAAGCCACACGATTCCACTGTCTTGAACAAGCAACAATAAACTTTCCTATAATGTTAGAATAATAATAAAATCAACATGTGCTAGTTAATCAGCACAATCATAGCGCCATACATGAGGAGAGGCAATAGCCTGGTGGTATTATTGCTAGGCAATTAATCTAGAAACCATGCATTCAAATCCCACTATGGCAAATGGTGGAATTTGAATTCAATAAACATTATGTGAAATTAAGAGTCTAATGATGATCATTATACCACTGTCAATTGTCAGATAAACTAATGCCCTTCAGGGAAGGAAACCTGCCATCCTTACTTGGTCTGACCTACACGTTACTCCAGATCCACAGCAATGTGGTAAATTCTCAGCTGCCCTTTGGGCAATTAGGGATGGGCAATAAATTCTGGACCCGCCAGCAATGCCCACATCTCATGAATAAATTTTTAAAAATAGCATGGAAACAGACCCTTCAGTCTAACCAGTCCATGCCAGCCAAGTTTCCCGAACTAAACTAGTCCCATTTGTCTGTATTTGGCCCATATCCTTTCAACCATTTCCTATTCATATACTAGTCCAAATGCCTTTTAAATGTCGTAACTGTACCTGCATCTACCACTTCCTCTGGCAGTTTATTCCACATACAAACCACCTCCTGTGTGAAAAAGATGCCCCTCAGTTTGCTTTTAAATCTTGCTCCTCTCACCTTAAAATTATGCCCTCTAGTTTTAAATTCCCCTACCGTAGGGAAAAGACCTTCCCTATTCTGAGGAAGGGTCACTGGACCAGAAACGTTAACTCTGATTTTTTTCTTCACAGGTGCTGCCAGACCTGCTGAGTTTTTCCAGCAACTTTGTTTTTGTTCCTGATTTACAGATCCGCAGTTCTTTCAGTTTTTACCCTTCCTATTCACCTTATCTATACCCGTCATGATTTTATAAACCTCTACAAGGTCACCCTTCAACCTCCTACCCTCCAGTGAAGAAAGTTCCAGCCTGGCCTAGTAACTTAAGCCCTCCAGTCCCAGTAATATCCTTGTAAATCTTTTCTGAACCCTCTCCAATTTAATAATAGCATGCGCTAAACACAGATAATACATTGTGATCAAACACCCCATATCACACTTCAAACAGCAAATGCAATCAAGATAGTTCGCAGTGAATCCTCAACAATTCTCCCAAGATGTTAATGACACAATGGGTCATCAAAACTCATGAAACATTCACAATTCTTCACTTTTGTCAATCTGGCCCTGAAACTCCCTCTCAAGAGTCACCCACCATGAACTACATCTAATGACTGATCCTGTTCTGGTCAATCGCTGTACTTCCCTGGGTCGAAGTTCCCTGGATGCCAAAACTGCACTCCGGTACTCACTCACAGAAATATATCAGATTTTAATTGCTTTACCGAGCTAATTCTGCCCGGTGTTTCATTCCCACTACAATCTTGCTAAGGCAGAATTGGATATTATCAATGTTTTGAAATAATCAGATGTAGTTCCCTTAGAACTGAGTGTACTCCGAAGGTTACATTCTCACAGAATGCTGGAAACAGATGACATCACAGTCATCATCAATAAATGACAAGCTTGGTAAGGTGACTGGGCCATTACCAAATTCTCATCTTGTTTTTCACTTCTTACACAGCCTCATCCTTCTCTATTCCTGTAACTTCTTCCAGCCTTAAAATCACCCATTTCTAGCATCCAGCATATCTATGACATTCATTGCCCCAGTATTGACAGTCAGCTGCATGGGCTTAATTTTGGAATCTCCTCCCTAAACATTTTTGCTTCTGTCAGCCTTTAAGATGCTCCTTAAAACCTACGTCTTCAACCAAGCTATCGATCTTCATCCCTAATATTTTCTCAAATGTCTTGGTGCTATACTTTGCTTGATAACACTCCTGTGAAACACTTTCAGACTTATAAATACAACTTGTTGAAGGATCGAATCTGGTAACTGGGACATTACTTGAAAGTATCTTATAAACACAGGAACAAGAGTAGACTAATCAACCTCTCAAGCCTGTGCCATAATTTAGTTTGATCATGACTAATCCTCATCTTAACTCCAACAGACAGCCTTGCTTCCATACCTCTTTTTTGGATCACACTTTAATCTTCTTTTCTAAATGTTAAAGTATACAGGCCAAACCTATGAAACCTTATAATTTAAGTTTTTTTTCTACATATTGCAATTCCTTCCTTTTATATGCAATTGTACTATTTCCAAATGGAACTCACCCTGCCTCATTTTGGTAAGGGATAATTAATGGTTTCATGGTATAATTAATGAGCTTTGTAGAGCCAGCAGCCCTCCAGTGATAATTCCTCAATCACACGATCCACATGGTGAGTTAAGGCAGGATGGTTAACCTTGGGAACAAGCATCAGTCTAGCAAAGGTGCAACTCAAGACCAAAGTACAGCAAGACTGTGTGTTTAACTCTGGGATTTTGATACCTGAGGGAATTTAAAGTTGATCTATTCCTTCAATCTAGTGAATCTAGTATTCCAATTAAGTATAACAGTAAATTAGAGTTACGAGGAATATAAAAACCAATAGTAAAAGCTTGTGCATTGTTTGATCCCTTACAGTAAGTCTGTTGAAATAACAATGAGGAAGAAGGAAACGGCAGACACTATTCAAGAAAGGAGGGAGGAAGGGAGGAAAAAAATGTCAGGAAATGTCATGCCAGCTAATCTAACAATCATTGAAAAAACACTAAAGTCCACGATTATGAAGGAATAGCAGAAAATTAAGAAAGTGTACAGGGGAATAATGTAGTGTACACTAGACTGTACACTACATTATTCCCTTCCACATGGTTTTTTGTAAGGGAATAATGTAGTAAGGGAATAATTAGTGTACAGTATAGTGTAGACCTCTTATGAAATTAGTTAACTGACTTTCCCTCTCAGGAAATGCACAAAGAACTCTAAACAGCCAGGAACCTAGACAACATAGAGACTGAAGTTACAAATATTGCATTCCCAATAACCATGGTCATTAAACTCTTAAACTGATGTGATGGAGTCGTATGCTGCCCTGCACATTCACTTATCTTGACAAGTGTTTAAAAAGAACCAAAGAACTGGGGGATGAACAGACTTGGAAATAGCCACTCTGACATCTTGAATACAGGTCCAATATTCAATGGATAAAAGAACCCAAACAAATGACTGGTAAATTGTGACTTCATAGAGATAAAGTATATTAAGAAATGTTCAGAGACAGCAGACAGTCCTCATCAAGAGTAAACCTTGACAGGCAGCTGCTTTTTTTCAGATGAATGATGAACGAGTAAAGAAAGGGGAAGAACAAAGAGGGAGGAGTGCCCAACACTTTGGTTAGATAGCATGATGCTGCCATCGCAAGCTATTGAGACCAACCCTCCCAGTGTCTATTCACCCTCTGATATTAGTGAGCCACCCCAAACTGACATGGGTTATACACTTTTCCTTCCTCTTTAGCTAATGCATCGTATTTACATTACTGCTTCTCAAACAAACAATCAACCATCTTAAAATTACTTGCAAGTAATGAACTGCTTCATCTTAGTTATCTGGGGCATAAATTTAGAATTTTATAGAAATTCAATATGGTTTTGTGAAAGAGAAATTGTGTTTGTCATATTTAATGGATTTGTCAGAGGATCTAACAAGCAGTGTGGATAAAGGGGAACCAGAGGTGTAATGCATATCCAGAAGGCAGAAGTAAAAGCTTGTTGTACAAAAGAAGAGTTCCTGGCATTAGGGATAATTGTTAGGACAGATTCAGTATTGGCTAACTATGAAACAGAGAGTAGGGATAAATGAATCATTTCTAGACTGGCAAACTGTAAATATAGGGATGTCAGAGGAATCAGTGCTGTTGCTGGAACTGCTCATGACTTGTACCAATAATTTGGATGAAGGCATGTATTGTAGTCCAGTTTGTCAATGATACAAAGATAGGACAGCAAGCTATGAGCAGTCTGCAAAAGGATATTGTTAGGTTAAGTGTTTGGTAATTCGAGTATAATGTTAGAAAATTGGAGGTTTGCTACTTTAGCAGTAGGAATAGAAAAGCAGAATATTATGTACCAAGAGAAAGATTGCAGAATGCTGTAGGAATACAGAATACAGTGGGATCTGGGTATTCATATACATAAATAACAAAATTGATGAGCAGATACAACATGTAATTAGGAAAACAAATGGAATTTTAGCCTCTATTGCAAGAGGAATGGAATATAAAAGTAGAGAAATCTTGCTGCAATTGGACAGGACATTGTTGAGACCACACCTTGATTATGGTATACAGTTTGATTTCCTGATTTAAGAAGTGATTTAGTTATATAGAAGCAATTCAAAGAAGATTCACTATAGGAATCAGCCTAGTGAAGGGGTGATCTTATAAGGAAAGTTTGACAAGGCTGGGCCTATATTGCTTGGAGTTTAGAAAAATGAGATGTAGTCTCATTGAAACAGACAAGATTCTAAAGGGGCTTGACTGGTAAATTCTGAAAGAATGTTTTCTGCTGTTGGGGTGTGGGGAATCGAGAACCGGGAGAAAAGTTTCAAAACATTTAAGACAGAGACAGGGAGGAACTTTTATCAGAGGATCATTAGTCCATGGAATTATCTTCCACAGAAAGCTGCAGGGGTTGGGTCATTGAATATATTAATATATTAATATATTAATTAGGCTGAGGTAGACAGATTACAGGAAGTTAAGGGTTATGGAGGACAGGCATGAAAGTGAATTAAGGTCACAATCAGATCAGCTACACTTTTACTGAATGTTGGAGCAGGCTAAGTGGGCTGAATGGTCTACTTCTACTATTCTTTCATTGACCAATCTTGTCCTTGTCAAATGTTTAAATTCACAACTGGGATCACCAGTTGGTGAAAAGCAACTGGAACGATGACTTATCTTCCCAACTTGACATAGGATTGATGATTCTTATTATAGACCCCACTCTCACATGTTTTTTTTTAAATCACTGAACTTCTGATCATGCCTAACATTGTTTGTAAGCAATGGAAATTCTTTCCAATGACACATGTAACACTTTCAAAAATAAACATGTAACTTGCACATTAAAGTAATTTGCAATTCACTATACTACATTACTCCTTAACTGTCAAAATTATGATCTAGAAATTCGTAGCTTGCAAAATCCTGGCACTCCTTTCTCTAACAGTACTGTGAGTATACTTAACTCCCATGATTGTAGCAGCTCAGAAAGGAAGCTCACCACCACCTTCTCAAGGGTAATTAGGAAATGCCAGTAAATGCTGGCTCAGCCAGCAACACCCATATTCAGTTTACTGAATAAAGGTAGTCCCCTAGTGTCATCCTACTTAGAAGGTTTGAACTCAGATCTGTACGGAGTTACTAAACTCAGCCAGAACAACTGAGAGATGACACTAGCCTCAGAATTCTTTGGTTAAGGAGTGAGAGCAAGTCAAAAGACAAAACAAAGCAATCAGATTTCCTAATTCTGGCTAGGAGTTAGTAACCTCAGGGAATTAATGTGTGTGGGGAATCTGAGCATGGGGGTCTGGCTCAACTGGAATGTAGCCCACAAATGAAATTTCCTGGCAACATTCACTGTCCAGGTTTAGATGGGAAGTTGAGAGGTTGGCTGAGGTTTGTTATAGCTACCTACTTGAACTGTGCAAACAAAATGGGGAAGAAGAAAGCAAAATTTAAGCAAAAACTTCCAGAAATACACAACATGTTAACACTTTAGATCCCTTTTCAGAACAGATTTTGGAAGAGTTTAGAAGAGTGAAAGACGATCACACTGAAACCTTCAAATTGGATAGAAACATCAGTAGGCCATTCAACCCCTCAAGCCTACTCCGCCATTTAATATGGTCATGAATGATCATCGAGCTCAATACCCTAATAATCCCTTGATCCCTTTACCCACAGGAGCTATGTCTATGTCCTTCTTGAAAACAGAGTGTTTTGGCCTCAATCACTTTCTATTAGTGAATTCCACAGGCTCACCACTCTCTGGGTGAAAAAATTTCTTCTCAACTCAGTCCTAATAGGTTTACCCCTTCTCCTTAAATTATGACTCCCGGTTCTGGACTCCACCACCATCAGGAACATCATTCCTTTGTCTAACCTGTCTAGTTCCGTTAGAATTTTATAGGTTCCTTTAAGATCCCTGCTCACTCCTGTAAGCTCCAATGAATACAATCCTACCCAACTTACTTTCTCCCCATAGGTCAGTCTTGCCATCCCAGGAATCAATTTGGTAAAACTTCACTGCACTCCCTCTACAGCAAGAGCATCCTTCCTCGGAAATGGTGACCAAAACTACACACAATATTCCAGGTCTGGCCTTACCAATGCCTGTATAATTGCAGCAAATCATCATTATTTTTGTACTCAAATTCTCTCACTATGAAGGCCAACATGCAGTTTGCTTTCTCTACAGTCTCGTTAAACATTCCTCTCTCTCAATTTACAGTCACTCAAGCAACAATAGGTTAAATGGACAGGGTTGATGCAGCTAAGGTTTCTTCTGCTGCTTCTACAATCTAGAATTAGGGGCACATTTTGAAAATAAGGGGGTGCCATGAGGAGAAATGTTTTTACTCAGTGGGTGGTGAATCTTTGGAATTTTCTACCTAAGAGGCCGTGGAAGCTCACAATTTGAGTATGTTTAAGGTAGAGATTGATTACCAGTGGCAAACAAAGTTTTAGGGATGGTGTGGGTAAAAGGCATTGAAGTCTTCAATCAGCCATGATCCTATTAAATGGCAGAGCATTCTCAATGGGCTGAATAGCCTAGGCCTATTCTTATGTAAAAATGAATCAAGACATTGAAGAAGTTAAAAATACAGATCAAATCACATATATTGCAGCTGACTCAGCACAATGTTGGGAGGAATATTTAGTTCATTGTAGGCTGTCAGCTTCAGGGAGATGCTGAACCACTCAAATCAAATATAGACATGCTGTGAGATTTGTGCCAATGTGTCTAATTTGCAGCTTTTTCAATGGAACATTCAAAATCATGAAACTGTAGTTAGTGTTTCAAAGAAAAATATCAGTCCACAATGATCAAATTCAACAGGTTTATCCAAACTCTCATGGGTAAATATAACAAAATTACATAGATAATCATAAGAGAGATATAGTTTATGTCTTTTTGTCTGAGGAGTTAATAAACTTAAAAATGACAAAGAATATGTGATATACTCTTCTTTTATTTACTGATCTACTAGTTTTAATTAATTTGTTTGGCTGTTTAAGCCTTGAATAAATCTTTCACCTTTGAAGGCAAGGAGCATTGATCAGAGGTTCAGACCTTAATGAATGTTTTGTTGCCCTGAACAATGCCATATTCTAGTTCAACATCAGGACAACTAATGATTAACCATCCAAAATATTTAGGAACATGAAGTCAAAATAGTTCAAATGCAAAGGGTAAAAGACAACCAAAATGGGAATCTGTTTGTTTCTTTTCATAGACCTGCCACATATTTCCAATGGGTGTTTTGTTTTATATCGGTCAACACTTGACAGAAGGGGGAATTCTGAGCAAATAATCCTGAAGCATGTATATTTTTCTGAAAGGACATGCCCCAACACAACGAGGAATAGGGCTCTCCTATGTAACACACTAACCATCTATGCCATTGTGTTGTTCGTAGCTACGCTTGCCCAGGATGGTTGGAGAACTGTGATTTAAAATAGGCATCAGCTTGGCAGGTGTCACGTTGCTGATGCGCAAACTGACATTGGGTCGGTCTTGCTTCGGGCACGGATGGGCTTCTGTGAACAACAACAAGCAAGTCAAAATTCAGATGCAAGAAAGAAATGGTAGTCATACAATGTCAGGACATCTCAAACTGCTTCACAACAATTCAAGTATTTTTGAAGTCCCTGTTGTTTCCGAGAATCTGGTGACTATACATCATTGTCCCTAGATGTTGTTGACTTTTCCTACAGTTCACTTCTAAAGTGCTCAGCAAGCATAGATATTCTTCTGAGCCCAGCAGTCTGGTGCTGTCAGGTCTGATTCTTCTCCTAAACAACCTCCAAAAATGTATACTTTCTAGCTTAGGTTGCTGGATGTTGCTTAGGACCAGATGCATTGTTTGATAAATTTGTGGAACTTCACTCAGCCCTCGCAGAGATTACATTATTAATAGAGTAGGATATTAAAAAATTAGAAAGAACAGGAAGGCAGAGTGCCTCTTTGCCTTTAATACAGGTTCATGCAAGCTTGAGGCACTGAGTTTTTAAAATCTGTTTATCATTAGAGCAATTAGACGAGTTTGAGATACTTTTTTTTACATCTACATAATATATGCTAACATTTTATATTCTCAAAATCAAACATTTTGATGGTGTGTTTATCTCAATTATATTAATATTTTCCCTGAACACAAGTTAAGCAACATGTTTTTAGATGTCTAACAGAGGTGGCACCAAAATATTTTATCTGTTTACATTTCTACCAGATCTGCTCATTTATTTCTGCTGAAAGCAGTTTTAATATTCAAAGACTTAATCAGTTAAGAACTGAGAACTCCAAATACAAACTTTAAATAATCATAACTGTGAATGTTTGATCAGATTAAGAATTACTTTACCAACACTGATCACTAATTCAGGCTGACTCTTACCTAGGTACTCCACAATTGTTTCCAAGGGTTTCCTAGCTGCTCGTTTCAATCCTGTGGTCTGTGTTGATACTGTGGGTAATCGCAGTGTATCTGGCACATAAAAGAGAGGTAGGTTGTTTTAGATGCCCTCAGTCCTCTAGCATAATCTCAAATTCTCTCAATTTTATTTCACAAGAACAGGTGCTATGGTGACATTATTCACTGTCATTTCTCCTCCAGACCTGGATTCAGAGCTTTCCCCAGATGAACAGATGCAAGTCACTTTTTTTTTAGAACCCCTACAGTGTGGAAACAGGCCATTCGGCCCAACAAGTCCACACCGCCCCTCCGAAGAGCATCCCACCAGACCCATCCCCCTACCCCTGTATTTCCCACGTCTAACCCAAACATCCCTGGGTACTATGGACAATTTAGCATAGCCAATCCACCTACCGTGCACATCTTTGGACTGTGGGAGGAAACCGGAGCACCCAGAGGAAACCCACGCAGACATGGGGAGAATGTGCAAACTCAGCACAGATGGTCGCCCAAGGCAGGAATCGAACCCCAGTCCCTGGCGCTGTGAGGCAGCAGTGCTAACCACTGAGCCACTGTGCCGCCCCAAAAGAGAGTTCAAGAGCCTCTATAAAGGGGCACCCAGATTTCTCTGCTGGTTGTAAAAACTCCTGTGAGAAATGGTTTGAGCCCTTCTCAACTGACTTTCTAATGGACCTGGGCCTGAGCATATATTTGGCTCTAACTGACATTCCTACGCTGAGAGGTCACAGGCAGGTTGATGAATCACAAAATAAATAGTGTAGGAGGCCTTTCTGCCCATTGTTTTAGCAGTGGCTTTCCTAATGAGCATTTCACTCATTGGTTACAGGGATAGGGTGGAGGGATGCTCTTCAGAGGGTCAGTGTGGACTCAATAAGCCGAATGGCCTGCTTCCACACGATAGGGATTTTACAATTCCCTCTCCCTGTAACCTTTCACGTTGTTCCTTTCTAAATAATTTCTTTTTGAATGCCTCAATTGAAATCACAGAAAGAAATAATAGAAAATACACCACAAAAGCAGGTCAGAGATAACAAGGTGTAGAGCTGGATGAACACAGCAGGTCAAGCAGCATCAGAGGAGCAGGAAAGCTGACGTTTTGGGCCTAGACCCTTCTTCAGAAAAATGAAGA